TAGAATGGAGCTGGAGGGAGCCACACAGGGGAAGGAGGGAGTATGTGCCCTGCTGGCCTGGCCCAGGGTCAGGATTAGCCCAGGTCACACCAGTTACTGAGTTGAGCCTTTGTCTAAGGTCCAGGAAGGGAGGGAGAGATGGAGTAGGGTCTACCTCAGCTCCTTCTACCTCAGAAGATGTAATGTTAGAGTGGGTGAAATTATTGTTTTTCTCATTCTGGGGCTCTCCCACCTCCCCAGGGTAACCCTCCATGTGCAGCAGGGAGAGCATCTCCGATAAACCCAGGCTGGTTCCCCCACCTTCCTCCCCACTATAGTGTCAGAATGAATCTCCTTGTAGCCATGGACACACTGGGAGAGCACAGACAGATAATGTTATTGCTGTATTTGTTACCAGGATTGGAGGTAAGATTTTTTTTTTTACTGTAAAGTTACTTTCATTTTTATTTTTTAAAATTAATTTATTTATACATACTTTACATCATTTTTCCATTTTTAAACAATGTTTGCTTCCACCCCCCCCTCCCAGGTGTAGTCCCCATAGAATTTCCTCCAGCAATGCACCTGTGCACCATCACCTCAGTCCCCTGTGCTCCTCCCTCCCTCCTTCCGATCCCTCTCCTCCCCCTTGCCTGCAGGATGTCTCTGGTATGTATGTTTTTCTTTTGTTTTATTTTTGTGTGTGTTTTGTATTATTATTATCTCCCCCCAGTGTCTAATTTGGTTCCCCTATATTCCTCTTGTAAATGAAACCATCCGATAATTTTCTTTTTCCTTCTGACTTATTTCACTGACCACAATTACTTCTAGCTCCATCCACATTGCTGAAATGGCATGAGTTTATCTTTTTGATTACTGAATAGTATTCCATTGTGTATATATACCACATCTTCTTGATCCAGTCATCTGTTTTGGGGCACTTGGGTGGTTGCTACAATAATCGTAGGGGGACAGGTATTCTTTTGAATCAATGTTTTTGTGTCATTTGGTTAGAGTCCTAGGAGTGGATTGCTGGGTCATATGGTATCTCCATTTTTAGTAGACTGAGGAAACTCCAGACAGCTTTCCATAGTGGTTGGGCCAGCTTGCACTCCCACCAGCAAAGTAGGAGAGTTCCTTTTTCATCACAACCTTGCCAGCATTTGTTGTTGCTACTTTTTTTGATATGTGACATTCTCATTGTTGTAAGGTGGTATCTCATTGTAACTTTGATTTTCATTTCTCTGATTTTAAGGGATGTTGAACATTTTTTCTTATGCCTCTTGGCCATTTGCATTTCTCCTTTGGAGCAGTGTCCTTTAAGTTCTTCTGCCCATTTCTTGACCGGATTGTTTACTTTGTTTTCGTTCAGTCGTGTGAGTTCCTTATACATCTTTGTGATCAGTCCCTTATCAGTTGTATGGAGGGCAAAGATTTTTTTTCCCCAATCAATGGGGAGTCTCTTTGTTTTGGGTAATGTCTCTTTTGCTGTGCAGAAGATTTTCAGTTTGATGTAATCCCAGGTGTTTATCTTTTCCTTCACTTTCTTTGCTTTGGGTGATGAGTCTTTAAAGGTATTACTGAGATGTATGTCTTGTGGTGTTTTACCTGTATTCCATGTATTTTATGGTTTCAGGTCTTATGTCCAGATCCTTTTTTTAAAAAATATTTATTTATTTATTTATACAAGCACTGGGTACAGTCAGAAGCATGGGAGGATGAGAGAATTCACCAGAGCCAGAGCGGAGAACAGAACAGGCAGACTGATGAAGTACACTGCTGAGGGGAGCAGCGGGCGGCAGGAGAGGTCTGCGCGCCATGCGGGACCCTCCTCCAGTGGCTGGGGAGCAGCCGGGGATTGAACCAGCACTGCAGAGGCTGCAGGCAGCTTCACAACCCAGCGCTCAACTGCTGTGCCACCGGGGAGGCCCCTCATGTCCAGATCCTTTATCCATTTTGAGTTGACTTTTGTGCACGGTGAGAGGTAGTGGTCTAGTTCCATTCTTTGGCATGTGGGGGTCCAGTTTTCCCAGCACCATTTATTGAATAAACTGTCCTTGTTCGATTGCATATTCTTTGCTCCTTTGTCAAAGACTAGTTGTCCATTTATGTGTGGCTTATTTCTAGGCTATCTATTCGGTTCCATACATGCCCCTGGCGCTTGCTTCCAATTACCCTTATTTTTTTTTTTTTCCAATTACCCTTATTTTGACCTGTCAGTCTGCCTGGTGCAGCCTGAACTTTTTGGTTTCCTTTGACAAAACCGGGCTTCCTGAGGGGTCTAAAGGCAGCCATGGCATGGGTAGGAGACACCTGCTGACCCTGCAGGCAGTGCCCAGGAAAAGGCACAACTGTTTTTATAGTCCTCGGAATTACACATCCTTAACTTTCTGTTACGAATATATAGTTCATTTCCTAGTACTAACATATAGGTTTACACAAGTGTAGGAATCTTGCAACTATTTAGACACCTGTACTCTGTATCTTTAATGATGTTGGTCTTACATGTTATATATTTCATAGGTGACAAAGCCCAAGGAATGTTTTAATTCCTGTTTTTTAAAATATTTTATTTTATGTAATTCTTACATCATTTTTCATCTTTGCACAATGTATGCATTTTCATTTTGATTATATTCCCCATACAATTGCACACCCCCCTTAAATCAACTCTAGTTCTTCCTCACCCTTTCCCTCCCTCCTCCCCAGTGTGTCTCTGGTTTATAGTTGATTGTTGATTTTTATTATTACTTTGTATTGATTAATATTTTTCCTGGTCTCTTATTTAGGTTTTTTAAATTCCTGCTATGAGTGAGACCATCCGGTATTTTTCTTTTTCTTTCTGACTTATTTCGCTGAGCATGATCCCTTCTAGCTCCATCCATGTTGCTGCAAAGTTCATGTGTTTATTTTTTTTTGATTGCTGAGCAATATTCCATTGTGTATATGTACCACATCTTCTTGATCCAGTCATCTATTTTTGGACATTTGGGTTGTTTCCATAGCTTAGCTATTGTAAACAGTGCTGCTATAAACATAGGGGTGCAGGTGCACTTTGGAATTACTGTTTCTATGTCCTTTGGGTAATTACCGAGGAGTGGAATTGCTGGATCATATGGAAGCTCTATGTTTAGTAGGTCCAGAAATCTCCACACAGCTCTCCATAGTGGTTGGACCAGTTTGCACTCCCACCAGCAGTGCAGAAGAGTTCCTTTTTCTCCACAACCTCGCCAACATTTCTTGTTGCTAGTTTTTTTTTTTTTTTAATATGTGCCATTCTCACTGGTGTAAGATGGTATCACATTGTAGTTTTGATTTGCATTTCCCTGATTACAAGTGATGTTGAACATTTTTTCATATGCCTGTTGGCCATTTGCATTTCCTCTTCAGAGAAGTTTCTTTTTAGCTCTTCTGCCCATTTTTTGACTGGGTTATTTTCTTTGTTTTTATTGAGTCTCATCACCTCTTTGCAGATTTTTGTGATCGGTCCTTTATCATTAGTGTTGTGTGCAAAAATGTTCTCCCAGTCGGTGGGGTTTCTCTTTGTTTTGGTTATTGTCTCTTTTGCTGTGCAAAAGCTCTTTAATTTGATGTAGTCCCAGCTGTTTATCTTTGCCTTCACTATCACTGCTTTGGGTGATGTGTCTGTAAAGATGTCTTTGAGGTGCATGTCATGTGGTGTTTTGCCTATATTTCCTTCTATGTATTTTATGGTTTCAGGTCTTATGTCTAGTTCGTTAATCCATTTTGAGTTGGTTTTTGTGCATGGTGTGAGGTAGTAGTCAAGCTTCATTCTTTTGCATGTAGCCACCCAGTTATTCCAGCACCATTTATTGAACAAACTTTCTCTGCTCCAGTGCATTTTCTTTGCTCCTTTGTCAAAGATTGTTGACCATAAATCTGTGGGTTTATTTGTGGATTTTCTATTCGATTCCATTGGTCTGTGTGTCTGTTCTTATTCCAATACCATGCAGTTTTGATGATTATGGCTTTGTAGTATAGTTTGAAGTCTGGGAGTGTGATGCCTCCATTCCCTTCTTTTGTTTTCAAGAGAGCTTTGGACATTTGGGGTTTTTGGTGATTCCATATGAATTTCATCAATAATTGTTCTATTTTTTTTGAAGAATGTCATTGAAATTTTGATTGGAATAGCATTGAATCTGTGAATTGCTTTTGGTAGGATGGCCATTTTGATAATGTTGATTCTTCCAATCCATGAGCAGGGGATGTCTTTCCATTTCTTTGTGTCTTCTTCTATTTCTTTTAACAGTGTTTTATAGTTTTCTTCGTATAGGTCCTTTACCTCTTCTGTTAAGATTTATTCCCAAGTATTTGATTTTTTTTTGTTTTGATAATCAAAGGGATGTTTTTTTTTTTTGATTTCTTCTTCTTCAGATTTATTGTTTGTGTATAGGAAGGCTACTGATTTTTGTGTGTTGATTTTGTATCCTGCCACTTTACTGAACTTATTGATGAGTTGAATTAGTTTTTCTGTGGAGTTTTTGGGGTTCTCTATACATATTATCATATCATCTGCAAGTAGTGATAGTTTGACTTCTTCCTTGCCTATTTGGATTCCTTGGATGTCTTTCTCTTGTCTTATTGCTTTTGCTAGGACTTCCAGTATTATATTGAAAAGCAGTGGTGAGAGTGGACATCCTTGTCTTGTTCCAGATCTTAATGGAAATGCTTTCAGCTTTTCATCATTGAGAATGATACTGGCTGTTGGCTTTTCATATATGGCCATTATGATGTTGAGGTATGTTCCTTGTATACCAAGAATTTCAAGGGCTTTTATCATGAATGGGTGTTGTACTTTGTCGAAAGCTTTCTCAGCATCTATTGATATTATCATATAGTTTTTATATTTCTTTTTGTTCATGTGTTGGATAACATTGATTGATTTTTGGATGTTGAACCATCCTCGTGTCCCTGGAAAGAATCCTACTTGGTCGTAGTGAATTATCTTATGGATACATTGTTGGATTCTGATAGCTAAAATTTTATTGAGGATTTTTTGCATCAGTGTTCATTAGGGAGATTGGCCTGTAGTTTTCCTTTTTTGTGTTGTCCTTGTTCGGTTTTGTTATTAGTGTAATGTTGGCTTCATAGAACGTGTTTGGTATTGTCCCTTCCTTCTCAATTTTTTGGAAGAGTTTGTGAAGGATAGGCACTAATTTGTTTCTGAATGTTTGGTAGAATTTATTTGTAAATCCATCAGGTCCTGGACTTTTGTTTTTGGGAGGTTTTTTGATTAGCATTTCAATTTTGCTTCTTGTAATTGGTCTGTTTAGGTGTTCTATTTCTTCTTTATCTAGCTTTGGGTGATTGTAGAGTTGTCGGAATTTGTCCATCTCCTCTAGATTATTGAACTTGTTTCCATATAACTGTTCATAGTAGTTTCTGATTATTCTTTTGATTTCTGCTGTGTCCGTTCTGATTTCTCCTCTTTCATTTGTGATCCTATTTATTTGTGCTTTCTCCCATTTTTCCTTTGTGAGCCTGGCTAGGGGTTTGTCTACTTTATTTATTTTTTCAAAGAACCAGCTTTTGGTTTCATTGATCTTTTGGATTGTTTTTTTAGTTTTGATTTCATTTATTTCTGCTTTGGTTTTTATTATTTCTTTTCTTCTACTGGTTTTGGGGTTTTTTTGTTGTTCTTTTACTAGTTCTTTGAGCTTCGAGATTAGGTTGTTTCTTTGAGTTCTTTCTTGTTTCTTGATGTGAGCCTCTATTGCTATATATATTCCTCTTATTACTTCTTTTGCTGCATCCCATATATTTAGGAAATTGGTGTCCTCCTTGTCGTTCAATTCAAAGAATTTTTTAATTTCTTCTTTGATCTCCTCATTAGTCCAGTGGTCTTCCAGTAGTATGGGTTTCAATCTCCATGAGGTAGGAGAGTTCCTTGCCTTCTTTTTATGGTTTATTTCTAGTTTGATGCCTTCATGGTCAAAAAAGATGGTTGGAATGATTTCAATCTTGGTGGATCTGTTGATGTTTGTCTTGTGTCCCAGTATGTGATTGATCCTGGAGAATGATTGTGTGCACTTGAGAAGAATGTGTACTCAGATTTTTGGGGGGTTGGTGTTCTATAGATGTCTGTTAAGCCCAAGCACTCTACATCCTTATTTAGAGCTTTAGTGTCTTTACTTATTTTTTTTCTCGTTGATCTATCCATTGTTGATAGTGGTGTGTTAAAGCCTCCTACTACATATTTGTTTTCTCTGATGCCTGTTTTCAAAGTTGATAATAGTTGTCTGATATATTTTGGTGCTCCTTCGTTTGGTGAGTATATGTTAATGAGTGTTATTTCTTCTTGAAGTATGGTCCCCTTGATCATAATGTAGTGATCGTTGGGGTCTCTTTTTACCTTTTTGAGTTTGAAATCTGTTTTATCTGATATAAGTATAGCTGTTCCTGCTTTCTTTTTTCGTCCATTTGCTTGTAGGATTGTTTTCCATCCTTTGACTTTGAGTCTATTTTTATCTTTTGTAGCTAAATGTGTTTCCTGGAGACAGCAAAAGGTTGGGCTTTGTTTCTTAATCCATCCTGTGACTCTGTCTTTTTATTGAAGAGTTTAGTCCATTTATATTAGGAGTCAAAATTGATATGCTAGCATCTGTATTTGCCATTGTGTTTGTCTTTCCTTTGATTTTATTTATGTATTCTTTTAATAACTTTTTTTTTGGCCTTCTTTCATTCTTATTTGTCCCTCTGAGGTTCTGGATTTAGGACTCCTTGTAGTATTTTTTGGAGTGGGGGTTTATTCATAATGAAATTCCAGAGTTTCTGTTTGTCTGGGAAGGTCCTTATTCTTTCTTCATAGAGGAAGGAAAGCTTTGCAGGATAGAGTATTCTTGGTTGGCATCTGTTGTCTTGGAGTCTGTTGACTATGTCCTTCACTCTCTCCTTGTCCGTAGTGTTTCTTCGGGGAAGTTTGATGTCAATCTGATTGGTTTTCCTTTGTATGTTATCTGTTTCTTTCCTCTTGTTAGCTTCATTATTTTTTCCTTGTCTTGGATCCTTGGGAGCTTTACTATTATGTGTCTTGCTGTATTTTTCCTTTCATCATGGAAGTTTGGTGTTCTTCTTGCTTCTTTTATGTCAATTTTCAGCTCCTTCTTCACGTTTGGGAAGTTCTCTTCAATTATTTCCTTTAGTATTTTCTCTGTTCCTAGGTCTCTCTCCTCTCCTTCTGGGATTCCTATAACTCTTATATTTCCTTTCCTCATGGAGTCAGATAGTTCCCGAAGTCTTTCTTCAGTCTTTTTCATTCGTACTTCTCTTTCCTTTTCTGTTTTGGTTCTTTTTATTTCTGTGTATTCGAGAGTGCTTATTTTTTCTTCCATTTCCTCTATTCTGTTATCACTGCTTTTCCCAGCATTCTTTAGCACTTCTGTTAATCCTTTGATCTCCTGCATTTCCTTCATTTCCCTCTCTAGGGACTCAATTTCATTCTTCTGAGCGTTGTTTTCCTTAATGACTTCCGTCAGTTTTTTCATCATGGCAATTATAAATTCTTTTTCTGGAAGGCTCAGAAGTTCTTCCAAGTCACTGTTGTTGCAAGCTGGTGGGTGGTTTTCTTTTTGTGGTGTGTCTTTTTCCTGAGGAGTTGCTACGTTGCATGTAGTTTTTCTTTTCCCTGCTGCCTGTCTTCTAATTTGCCTTATGTGTTGGTACACTGTGTTGCTGGTACCGGTCAACACATTTTTGGTGTGCTCTTTCGGGGATTTCAGAAACTGGCAGTCCAAACAAGTCAAATACTGTTATGCTAGAAGTCTAGTGAGGCAGTGGTACTTTGAGAATGTTAATGATCACTGTCACAGAATATCTCCTCCTTCTGTGTTTAATTACAAAGGAAGTCCCACAGACTTCCCTGGAGGTGGGGCAGCTGGATTGCACTCTGGGTTCCAAATCTCTGGATCCCCCTCTGGGCTCGACTTCCTGCCAGGTGGGACCAGGCTTGTGGGGGCTCTCTGCTCACTTCTGACTGTGCAGGGAACCTTCTCCTTCTGGCTCCTCCGGAAGCCTTCTGCCGGTTTCAAGCAGTCTTTATTGAAAAAGGTCCCTGTTCTAAAATGGCACTCTCCTGTGTGCCTGGTCTGCCTCCGCAGTGGGTGCCTTCTCCCACTCTGGGCTCAGACTGCTGGCCAGAAGGGGTCTGGCTTGGGCAACCTTAGCGGCTCACCTCTGGCTCCACCGGGAGACTTCTGCCAGTTTCAGGCAGTCTTTATAGAAGAAAGGTCCCTGATCTAAAATGGCAAGTCCGAGACAGAAGCCCTCTCCCGCGCGCCTGATCTGCTTAATTCCTGTTTTAAACCACTGTAATGAGAAAGGAAACAACACAAAAAAATGGTGATAGATATTTGCATTTCTGATCCTTTCTCTTCCCTGAGATACTGAGTGTCCATTCTGTGTAATTTGCCTGCAGCCTGGAGAATGTCCTTTACCATTTCACATAGGGTGGACCGTTGGGGACACAATCTGTGTTTTTGTTTGTCTGAAACCTATTTTGTCTTCAATCTTGAAGGACATTTTTGGTCGATAGAGAATTATGAGTAAATATTTTGTTTCTTTTGGGAGAGGTGTTTTACTTTCTTTGCTCTGCCCGTGCCCCAATTATTAAGGTATCATTGGTTTAAGACCCTGTACATGACTTAGGGATCAGGCTCACACTTCCCAGATGCAGGTGCCCACACCACATCCTTCACCCAAGCACCCACAGTCCTTACCCATGGACCTTCGTGGCCTGTGCTTTCTGCTGAGAGTCATCAGATGGGAGAGGAGGCACAGAGGCCCCAAGCAGAACTACCATGGTGGAGGGAAGATCTATCACATCAGCCTCTGCCATCATCCTCACGGTCACGCCAATTACAAGCAGAGGAGGCCGCACATGAGCAGTCCCTGCAGCACTGGGAGAGGCAGAGCAAGACAAACAAGACAAGCAAGACAAGGTTCCAGAAAACCCCCTGAAAGAGAGGGAGGTTTATCAAGTCATCAATGCCACCCAGACAAAGAAGGCACTTTGAAAAAGAAGGAGCAGGGGGCGGGAAAGAACTTAGACTATAAGGTAATATCAACAATGAAAGGGTCCATCTGCCTAGTCTCATCCAAGAGCGTAAGCCCAAGAGCCCAGACACATTAGGCCTGGCTTTGCTGAGAAGCCGCATCAGTAACACAAAAAAGCTGTCTCCCCGCAGATCAGTAACTTCTAGTAAAGACAGAGCCCAAGCAGATGGCCCTGCTCACACCCCAACTCCCAGAGATAAGGCTCCTTGTTCTCGCCAGTGCACAGACAGGTCAGATAGGTGCATTAACTTCACACCTGTTATGGACTGTTCTCTGTAAAACTGCTTGACAGTGTAAGACGTTTTCCCTGTAGACTCTATAAAATTCTCATCATGAGGCTTGGAATTTGAACAGCTTTACCAGAGCATCTGAAGGCTGCACCGGGCCCCAGTCCTCAGTCTTATTCTTCAGTAAACTCACCTTTTCTCCCTTCATCTTATCAAAACCACGAGTTTAAAGGACAAGAATGATTTCTGCATGATTTCTTGGGGCAACAGCATCCCCAAGCCTCAGACAATAGAAGTGAAACTCCAGGACTGGGATACACGCTGCTTGGCTCATGAGTGTTGGCTCACTGGGGTGAGTTACTGTGTGGACACCCCTGCAGGGCCCCTTTGAAACACATCCCGTGTGTCTTTGCCAGAGTGATCCCCCCAGCCCATGAAAGTGCTTCATATCCTCACACCGCGGGCTCTTATGTCACTGGGGCTTCCTAATGCTGAGGTCTGTCTGGGGATTGTGCTCAAAGGTGAGGAGCCAAGGGCAGGAATGAGACTGTGTCTCCACAGACAACACAGTGATTGAGGCACCTGGGGAACTTGGGGTCCCTTGTTTGGAAGATCTGGTCCAGGAATTTGCCTTCCTGTGAAGCATTCCCAGGGGGTCTCTGTGCACCCCTGACTGCTAAGACTTGACAGGCTTCTCAGGGAGATGCTCCCTGGCTGCCAAGGGGAGATCCATCAGCGCCTCCAGCAGCTCAGCTCAGCCCAGAGCCCCAGAAAGCACAAAACTTTGTCAGTGTGTGTTTTCGTTTTTGGAAAATCTGGAATACTTACTTAGCAGGGGAGATACCATGATCATGAAGGTGGTTTTCCCAGGGCGAGGCTTATCCATTGCACTCCGGATGTGCTGACCTCTGAGATTTCCCCAAATGTGGGGAAACTCGACTGCATAATTTGTGGTAGTGGGGGACTGCGTTCGCGCTCTCCCCTAAGGAAAAAAAAAAAAAAAAAGAAAATCTGGAGCTTAGATTTGGATTATTTTCTGCTGTATCTTCAGGAACTGGAGGGAAAGTGTCAGAGAAAGGCGGTGGTGTCCATGCAGGCCTTTCCCTCATAGCCTGGTCCAAGAAGAGTCCCCAAATGTCTCCTCAGGGGTCTCTGCTGCCTCCTCTAGTGAGCAGAGGACTCAGGTCATGGGGGAGGGAGACCTGCTCTTCACGTCTTCCCTCCTGGGGATGATGTGGGGAGTGAGGCCCCGAGCACATGTGCAGACAGCAGGGGACCCAGCACAGGGTGTGCTTGACCCTGAGGGCTCCTAGGGCCTTTGTAGGAAGGAACTTGAAATATAATTGGAAAGAAGAGCATAAAACAGCACTGAGCTGCCTCTGCTGAGAGCCCAAATTCTAGCTCTCTGGTGACAGCTGAGACTCAGACAGTCTGGCTCACATGCATCTGGTGGCTTCCTTAGCCTAGCCAGGACCTGGCCTAGTCCTTTTCCTGAGCTCAGGGTTTTCATCTGTTTTTGGGTCTGTGAGAAGGGAAGTCCCTTTCCCCAGCACAGCATTATGCACTCAGATTTTGTTGGGGGTTCAGGGTGCTCATAGGCCCTTCTCGGGGCCCCAGGCTCCTTATGTGAAGAACCCTGCACAGTCAGGATCTGGGCATGGGGGCTGTGGCTAGAAGTGGACGGTGATTAGGACCTGAAGCACCTGCCACAGCTCCTCCTGGCATCAGTGGGCAGATCCGGGACAAGCAAGGAACATAGACCTTCAATCCTCATGATGTGGGGAGGCTGACACACCTGTCACTTTACTGATGCCGACATTGGACTAATATGATAGGACCACGATGCCTGGTTCCAAGCTGGTTCTAATAAGCCACCGTGGGAAAGCTGTGTCTCTCCTGGAGATGAGGTCAGCTGTGCCTGTGTCCTCAGAAACCAAAGATTGGGGCTGTTTTCCTTTTAAATTCTTTAAAAAATTTTTTTAAAGATTTATTTATTTATAAAAGAACTGGGGTACAGGTCAGAGGGGCAGGAGGGTGAGAGAATTCACCAGAGACAGAGTGGGGAGCAGAACAGGCAGACAGACCGAAGATACTCCTAAGGGGAGCAGTGGGCGAGACAGGTGAGGTCTGTGAGGAGCAGAACAGATGCATCTATTAAGATACACTGCTGAGGGGAGCAGTGGGCGAGACAGGAGAAGTCTGCTGCACCGTGTGGGGGTCAGCTCCCTGGCCAGGTATCTAACTCATGCTACAGTGGCTGGCCATAGCTTGATAGTGCTGAGATTTAACCCTTGCACCACCAGGTAGGCTCAAGCTTAATGTTTGTTTTTTAATAAGTTACTTATTTATATATATTTTTACATCATTGTTCATTTTTGTACAATGTTTGCTTTCTTTTCTCAGGTCTAGTCCGCTTAGAATTCCCACCACCAATTCTCTCTTGCACCATCACCATAGTTCCTTGTGCTCTTTCCACCCTTGTTTTGATCCCACTCCCTCCTCCTCCCCCTGCAGAATGTCTCTGATTTATAGTTGCCTATTTATTTTACTTTTTTTTTTGTTATTTCTTTCCCTATCCCTTATTTGGCTCTCCTATATTCCTTGTATAAGTAAAACCATGCAATAATTTTCTTTTTTCCTTCTGATTTATTTCACTGAGCATAATCCCTTCTGGTTTCATCCATTTTGCTGCGAACGGCATGAGTTTATCTTTTTGGATTGCTGACTAGGGTTCTATTGTGTATATATACCACATCTTCTGTATCTAGTCATCTATATTTGGGCATTTGGATTCTTTCCAAATCTTACCTATTGTAAATAATGCTGCAATAAACATAAAGGTACAGGTATTCTCACTAAATGAAGGAGCACCAACATACATAAGACAATTATTATCAACTCTGAAACATACATTAGAGAAAATGCATATATAGTAGGAGACTTCAACACCCCACTCTCACCAATGGACAGATCAGCGAGACAAAAAATAAACAAGGATACTAGAGCCCTAAATAAAGACCTAGACCTTATGGGTTTAACAGATATCTATAGGACACTGTACCCAAAAAAATCTGAGTGCACATTTTTCTCAAATGTGCATGGATCTTTCTCCAGAATCAATCACATACTGGGCCACAAGACAAATATCAACAGATACATGAAGAGCAAAATCATTCCATCTATCTTCTCTGAACATAAAGGCATCAAGCCAGAAATAAATCATGAAAAGAAACCAAGGAACCCTACCACTACATGGAGATTGAAATCCGCAATGCTGGAAGACCACTGGACTAATGAGAAGATCAAAGAAGAAATTAAAAAATACTTTGAGTTGAACGACAAGGAGGACACCACTTTCCAGAATGTATGGGATGCAGCAAAAGCAGTAATAAGAGGAAAATATATAGCAATCCAGGCTCACATCAAGAAACAAGAAATAACTTAAAGAAACAACCTAATCTCACATCTCAAAGAGCTAGAAAAAGAACATTAAAAAAAAAACCCTAAAGCCAAAAGAAGAAAGGAAATAATAAAAATCAAAGCAGAAATAAACAAATTGGAAATTAAAATAATAATCCAAAAGATCAATGAAACCAAAAGTTGGTGCTTTGAAAAAATAAACAAAATAGACAAACCTCTAGGCAGGCTCACAAAGAAAAAACGGGAGAAAACACATATAAATAGGATTATCACTGCTGCAAAAATCCTCAACAAAATCCTTGCCAACAGAATCCAACAATGCATCAAAGGAATAGTACACTACAATTAAGTGGGATTCATCCCAGAGGCATAAGGATGGTTCAACATACAAAAATCGATAAGCGTAATCCAACACATCAAGAAAAAGAAAAATAAAAACCATATGATCATATCAATAGATGTTGAAAAAGCATCTGACAAAGTCCAACATCCATTTATGGTGAAGGTCCTTGAAATTCTTGGGATAGAAGGAACATACCTTAACATGATGAAAGCCATATATGACAAACCCACCGCCAATATTATTCTCAATGGCAAAAAGCTGAAGACCTTTTGTTTATGATCAGGAACAAGACAAGGAAGGATGTCCTCTCTCACCACTGCTCTTCAATATAATACTGGAGATCCTAGCCTGGGCAATAAGTCAAGAGAAAGACATACAAGGAATCCAAATAGGGAAAGAAGAAGTAAAATTATCACTATTGACAGATGATATGATAATATACACAGAGAACCCTAAAAACTCCACAGAAAAACTACTCAAAATGATCAACCAGTTCATTAAAGTAGCAGGATACAAAATCAACACACAAAAATCAGTAGCCTTCCTATACACAAACAATCAATCTGAAGAAGAAGAAATCAAGAAAACCATCCCTTTCATAATTGAAACAAAAAAAATCAAATACTTGGGAATAAACCTAACAAAAGAGATGAAAAACCTATACAAAGAAAATTATAAAACACTGTTAAAAGAAATTGAAGAAGAAAGAAAGAAATGGAAAGACATCCCCTGCTCATGGATTCAAAGAATTAACATTATTAAAATGGCCATCCTCCCAAAAGCAATATACAGATACAATGCTATTCCAATAAAAATCCCAATGACATTCTTCAAAGAAATAGAATAAATACTGATGAAATTCACATGGAACCACAACAAACCACAAATAGCCAAAGCCCTACTGCTGAAAACAAAGGAGAAAGGAAGTATCACCCTTCCAAACTTCAAGCTATACTACAAAGCCATACTAATTAAAACAGTTTGGTATTGGAACAAAAACAGACACACAGACCAATGGAATCAAATAGAGAGCCCAGAAATAAAGCCACACTTATATGAACAAGTAATCTTTGACAACGGAGCAAAGAATGTGCAATGGAACATGGACAGTTTGTTCAATAAATGGTGCTGGGAGAATTGGACCTCCACATGCAAAAAAATGAAGCTAGACCACTACCTCTCACAGTGCACAAAAATCAACTAAAAATGGATAAAAGAATTGAACATAAGACCTGAGACCATAAAATATATAGAAGAAAATATAGGTAAAACACTATAAGACATACATCTCAGAAACATCTTTAAAGACTCATCACCCAAAGCAGTGACAGTGAAGGCAAAGATAAACCCTGGGATTACATCAAACTGAAAAGCTTCTGCACAGCAAAAGAGACATTAACTAAAGCAGAGAGACACCCCACTGATTGGGAAAAAAATCTATGCACTCCATTCAACTGATAAGGCACTGATCACAAAGATACACAAAGAACTCACACTGCTCAAAAAAATAAATAAATAAATAAATAAATAAATAAATAAATAAATAAATAAATAAATAATCCGGTCAAGAAATGGGCAGAAAAACTTAGAAGACATTTCTCCAAGAGGAAATGCAGATGGCCAACAGGCATATGAAAAAATGTTTAACATCCCTTATAATCAGGAAAATGCAAATCAAAACCACACTGAGATACCACCTTACACCAGTAAGAATGGCACATATCAAAAAAAAAACAAGCAACAACAAATGTTGGAGAGGATGTGGTGGAAAAAGGAACTCTCCTACATTGCTGGTGAGAGTGTGAACTGTTCCAACCTCTGTGGAAAGCTGTCTGGTTTCTCAGTCTATTAAAAATGGAGCTACCATATGATCCGCAATTCCACTACTAGGGATCTACCCAAAATACACAAAAACAGTGATTCAAAAGAACACCTGTACACCTATGTTTATTGCAGCACTATTTACTATAGGTAGAACCTGGAAACAACCCAAATGCCCAAAAACAGATTACTGGATCAGGAAGATGTGGGATATATGCACAATGGAATATTATTCAGCAATCAAAAAAGATAAACTCATGCCATTTGCAGCAACGTGGCTGGAGCTAGAAGGATTATGCTCAGAGAAATAAGCCAGAAGGAAAAAGAAAAATATCAGATGGTTTCACTTATAACAGGAATATCAGGGAACCATATAAGACATCAGCGTAAAAAAAAATAATAACAGTACAAAACACAACAAACCAGAAACAGACAATTATAAATCAGAGACATCCTACAGGGGAGTAGGAGGGAGAGGGATCAGAGGGAGGAAGGGAGGAGCACAGGGGACTGTGGTGATGGTGCATGGGTGCCTTGGGGAAAGAAATTCTATGGGGACTCAATCTGAAGGGGTGGGGGTAAGAAAATACTGTTTAAATTTTTTTTAAATAATATGTTAAAATAAAAAACACAAAAATAATAATAAAGTGAAATCATTATTTCCTTCTCTCTTTTTAAAAAGATTTATTTTTATTTATTTATGCATATAAGAACTGGGTTGTAGGCCAGAGGTGTAGGGAGTGACAAGACTCACCAGAGATAGAGTTGGGAGCAGAAGAGATACATTTATTAATATACACTGCTGAAGGGAGCAGCGGGTGAGACAAGAATGGTATGCTGTACCATGTGTGTCAGTTCCCTGACCGGGATCCAATTCATGCCTCAGTGGCTGGTGATAGCTTGATAGCACTGAGACTTTAACCCCATGGCCACCAGGGAGGCCCTATTTCCATGTCTTTCATCTAACTTTGGACATTCATTTTTCTACAAGAAACAAATAGAAAATCTAGAAATAAACCCACAGATTTAGGGTTAACGATCTTTGACAAAGGATCAAAGAATATGCAACGCAACAAAGAAAGCTTGTTCAATAAATGGTGCTGGGAAAACTGGGTGGCTACATGGAAAAGAATGAAACTTGACCACTGCCTCACACCATACACAAAAACCAACTCAAAAAGGATTAAAGAACTAGACATAATACCTGAAACCATAAAATATATAGAATGAAATATAGGCAAAACACTACATGACATGCACCTCAAAGACATCTTTACAGACACATCACCCAAAGCAGTGATAGTGATGGCAAAGATACACAGCTGGGACTACATCAAATTAAAGAGCTGCTGTACAGCAAAAGAGACAGTAATCAAAACAGAGACACCCCACAGATTGGAAGAAAATTTTTGCACACAACATTAATGATAAAGAACTGATCACAAAAATCTACAATGAGCTGATGGGACTCAACAAAAAGAAAGAAAATAATCCAGTCAAAAAATGGGCAGAAGAGGGCCTCCCCGGTGAGGCAGGGGTTGAGCACTGGGTTGTGAAGCTGCCCTCAGCCTCTGCAGCGCTGGTTTGATCCCCGGCCTTTGGTGAGGGTCCCACATGGCGCGCAGACCTCTCCTGCCGCCCGCTGCTCCCCTCAACAGTGTACTTCATCAGTCTGCTTGCTCTGCTCTCCCCTCTGGCTCTGGTGAATTCTCTCACCCTCCCACGCTTCTGACTGTACCCAGTGCTTGTATAAATAAATAAATAAATCTTTAAAAAAAATAAATGGGCAGAAGAGTGAAAAAGAAACTTCTCCAAAGAGGAAATGCAAATGGCCAACAGACATATGAAAAAATGATCAACATCACTTGCAATCAGGGAAATGCAAATCAAAACTACCATGAGATACCATCTCACACCAGTGAGAATGGCACATATTAAAAAAACTAGCAACCACAAATGTTGGCGAGGATGTGGAAAAAAAGGAACTCTCCTGCACTGCTGGTGAGAGTGCAAAATGCTCCAACCACTATGGAGAGCTGTGTGGAGATTCCTCAACCTACTAAAGATAGAGCTTCCGTATGATTCAGCCATCCCACTCCTAGGTATTTAGCCAAAGGACAGAGAAACATTTATTCAAAAGGATACCTGCACCCCTATGTTTATAGCAGCACTGTTTACAATAGCTAAGCAATGGAAACAACCCAAATGCCCAAAAATAGATGACTGGATCAAGAAGATGTGTTACATCTACACAATGGAATATTACTCAGCAACCTAAAAAGATAAACTCATGCAATTTGCAGCAACATGGATGGAGCTAGAAGAGATCATGCTCAGTGAAATAAGCCAGAAAGAAAAAGAAAAATACCGGATGGTCTCACTCATAGCAGGAATTTAGAAAACCTAAATATGGGACCAGGAATAAGACTATAATAAAGAAAAAATCAAAATCAACAAGCAACTATAAACCAGAGACACACTACGGGGGTTGGAGGGTGGGGAGAGGAAAAACCAGGGTCAAAATAAGGGGGGTGCAATTGTATGGGGAATATAACCAAAATGAAAATGCACACATTGTGCAAAAATGAAAAATGACATAAGAATTATATAAAATAAAATATTTTAAAAAATGAACAATGATGTAAAACATAAATTTAAGAAATATTTTATAAAAAAATCGTAATTATTGAGATCACAATCTAAAATTGTGCTAAACAAAAACTAACTAAAAATTTAAAGGTTTAAAACATACATGCCTTAAGGTTTTAGTGTTGGATATTTATTCTTTACTCTGTTTAAATGTGTTTATTCATGCTATACAAAGAAAATGATAACCTGGCCTAAGCTAACAAACTTACTTCTAGGCTTTTATCTAAACTTCTCCTGATGAGGTCTCTTTCCAGGAAGACTGATGCACTTATCTTCTCCCTTTGGAGAAAAATACTTTTCTTCCAGTAAATGTCTTGACTTCTTTAAAAACAAATTTGGGGTGACATATAAAGCCATATGTACAAGTTACTGAGACTCTCACAGAAAAGGTATATGGTATTTGGTCTCTGATTTTTTCTTGCTTTTGTCAATCTAGTGCTTGCCTAAGAAAAAACTTCCTATATGAAATTGTTTTAGTGGCAACTCTGCAACTTACTTGAAATTGTAGTTCTAAGAAAAACTAAAGTTACAATTGGTATCTATCTTAATTTTTTCTTTTCATTGTTATTTAGATAGTGGCTAAATTTCTTATAAAACTAAGATTTTGCTAAGTTTAGAAATAGAAGTTTGTTAATCATTTACTGAATTTTCAGGTTTACATTTTGCTCCTTATTGTAAGGAAACTAAAATTTAATGTCATATTGTTAAGGGGAAAAGAAGTCCTGAGCTAATTCCACACAGGCTTTGTGGACTCCACCCCCACTCCAGACCAAAGCCATGAAGACACTGGGAGTGACAAATCCCATCATCACCAAAGGGAGGGTTGCTGGGACCTGAGGGTGGAGTTAAGCAGCAAGATTGGGTATAAAACCAGACACGTGGGCCTTGGGGCTTTTTTCTTGGCTTCATGGCTCTTGTCTCTTTGCCAGCCTCAGCATGCCATTGGGATTCCAGGTCCTCGGAAAGGATAGAACACATTTAAGACTTTATCTCCCTCTTTCCTCTCTGAGTTGTACATTTCCTCATTTTCCCTTCCCTTGAAATAAATCTTTTATTAACCTTTTGTGTGTGCCTGCAGTTGAGTATTAATAAGCCCCTATAAAGGGCTCCGGTGAGGAAGCACAATCAGGGCAACACATTTTATTTCGGGGTTGCCCTGCAACAATCTCAGAAAAAAAAAAATTGAAGGATGTGTTTGTGTAAGTTGTGTAGTCTAAAGAGGTGGTAGTATAATAGCTACTACAATGTCTTACAATGTGGAGATTAAAACCTACGATGTAGGGCCTCCCCGGTGGCGCAGCGGTTGAGCACTGGGTTGCGAAGCTCCCCGCAGCCTCTAAGTGCCGGTTCAATCCCCGGCCCCCGGGCAAGGGTCCCACATGGCGCACAGACCTCCCCTGCCACCCGCTGCTCCCCTTAGCACTGTACTTTGGTCCTTCTGCCTGTTCTGCTCCCTGCTCTGGCTCTGGTGAATTCTCTCACCCTCCCGCGCTTCTGACTGTTCTCAGTGCTTATATAAATAAATAAATAAATCTTTAAAAAACTATATTTAAAGAAAAAAACTTACGATGTAGTAACTCTACATACCAAAAATCCCTCTCTCAGACCTTCAACACTTTCTTTTGCGTTCTCACTTTTTATCATATCATTTTAGCCATTTACCATATCATTTAGTCATTTGAAAGACTTTCAGAATATTCATTTTTAATACATTTCTTTCTTTCTTTTTTAAACACACAAACCTCACTTTATTTGTATTTGGAGTTACTGCACTCTAGTTTTCAGTTTTTTTTTTTTTTTACATTTGTAAGACATTGTAATAGCTGTTATACTATTATTTTTAGACTAGACAATTACACAAACACATCCTTTACAATAAGGAGCAAAATGTATACATGAAAGTTCAGTAAATGATGAACAATTTTTTAAAATTTATTTATATATACAAAAACCAGGGTACAGGCCAGATGCGCGTGCACGGGAGGGTGAGAGGATTCACCAGAGACAGAGCAGGCAACAGAACAGGCAGATTGACGAAATACACTGCTGAGAGGAGCAGTGGGCACGACAGGAGAGGTCTGCAGTGCCATGTGGGACCCTTGCCAGCCGGCTGGGATAGAACCAGCGAAGCAGAGGCTCCAGACAGCTTCACAATGCGGCACTCAATTGCCTGCACCACCAGAGGAGGCCTGATGAACAATTTTTTTAAGCATTAGATATACTGATTAAAAGCCAAGAAAAAGCAGAAGACCTAATATCACATATATTTTTGTTTTTGGCGGCTGAATGGCCACAATCAGGGTAGAGATATTCCAGACCATGCAGTTGACAGTGGAAGGAGATAGCGGGTAGTCCTGAGGAGGATTAGGAGATGTTTGGAGCAGTGGGAGGGTGAGAGCAGTGCTAGGGTCTTGGAACCATGAGATAGTAGCTCCGAGTTTGGTCAGAAGGTTGTGTGAGGCAAGAAGGCATGACTGAGAAAGAGTGAATCCCTTTGGCAAGGGATCGGGCCAGTAGCACGAGGCTGAGAGGGTTGGCTGTCAACTCCATAACCGAGATCTGGGAAGGATAAGTCTGACCCAGGTAGGAGGGGAGGACAGAGAAGGCAGCCCCATGTCGACCAAAAAGGAGATGGACTTACGTGTTACCTTGACTGATATCCTGGGCTCCTCAAAGATTATTGGGGTCGATGAGTCCAGGCCTCTTCAGTCCTCTGCCGCCAAACCCAAGACCGCCAGTGGCAAGAGTTTCAGGGGCTGGAAGGACTGGCCCACCATGGCCAGGCGCGGAGGGACAGTCATTTTTCCAGTGACCCTGGATGCTGCAGATGAGGCACGGTCCTGGCAGAAGGTGGGGTTTGGGGCAATGTTTGGACTTGAAGGAAGGAACTTGAAGGAAGTTCCCAGTGGCTGTGGGGCCCATTGTTGTCCTCTGTCGGGTGGCAGGTGCTGCGGTCGTTGGAGGAGCAGGGCATGAGGGCCTCAAGGCAGCTACTAGGGCCTGAGCTTGAAGCTCAGCCTTTTGGCAACTATGGGTCTCTCTATCCATCCTGTCCTGTTCCTCTCAGTTGTTAAAAATCTTAAAGGCCATGTTCAACAGTTCTTGGATATCGGGAACTGACTGAGATATAAAATAGGTAGCCAGGACTGTGGCTCCTCCAGGTGAATGAGGGTCAAGCCTGGTATATTGCTGGAGAGCCTCAGTGAGGTGGCGAAGAAAGGCTGCTGGGTTTTCCAAGGGGGACTGGGAGATTTTCCTAAGCTTATCAAAGTTTACAGCCTTGTGTGCTGTTGCTTGGAGACCAGCCATGAGGTAGGTAATAAAACGGTCTCAGTGAGAGGGGATGTGGCGGCTAGAAGGTAAAAGAGGGGACTGGATTGTGTGAGGGCCATGGATGGAGGGTGGTTGGAGGCAGGTCCTGGGTAAGGTGGAGCTCCCTGGGGAGCTGAGGGAGGTGAAGAAAGAGAATCTAGAGGATCTGAGAAAGTTGATGACCAGTTGTGAGGCAGTTTTTTTAGTGTCAGAGGCAGAGCTCTGGGAGGGTGGGGAGTGAGAGGAGTCTCAAGCAAGGAGTACTTGGAAAGTGTGGCAGGTTTTTTGGAGGAAGGGATGAGAGGGAGGGGCGGGAGCGCATGAGAAAGCAAGCCTAGACATAGGGGTGACAGAAATTTTTTAGGTCTATAAGGACCGTGAAATTGAAAGTATCATATTCCGGACATTGAGAGCCATTATCCAATTGGTATTGAGGCCAGGCAGTGTTGCAGAGAAAAATGTGTCGCTTAGAGTGTATATCTGGCCTTAGTCCCAGCAGACCGAGGTTTGAAAGATGGCATCCCCGTGGAGTAGCCAAATCAGGCTTAGAATTTGCAGACCCCATGGCTAACCCAGCTCCTTTTCCCAACCAACAGGGGGCACAGTGTCAGGACACAGTGTCCCACGAGCCTGGCCTGGCCTACAGGGGGCACAGACTCAGGATTGCGGTGTCCCATGATTAGGTTCTGGCTAACAGGCAGGGGGCAAACAAGTGAGGGGGATGTCTCGGTTGTTGCCTACAGGACAGGAGACAGACAGATGAGGGGGACGTCTCCACTGCTCGCCTGTTTCCTTAAACCAGGCACCTAGTCTGGACAGGCGTGCCCCAATCCAGGTCTAAGTGTAACAAGGGGTCGGCTGACATGGGCCCACGGTTTACAGGACAGCCAACCAAAACAGGGAGTTAGGAGAGGAGCCGGGTGACCAGAGGCGAGGGCCTCCCAGGAAGGAGAGTCAGGCAGGTGACTCACCCCAAGGATCAAGGCCGGTGGTGGATGTGAGGGTCTGCAATGGAGAGGAGAGTCCCAGGGACGGGAAGGCAGCCCCGGCACCAGGGGACAAAGCCCTCACAGACTTCAGCACCAAGATGAAATGGTTGGCATGGTAAAGAAAAGGAGAGACAAGCTAAGTATCTCACAGGCAAGAAATTTATTGCGCTGACGGGTGAGGTTCGCGACCCCCACGGGAGTTGGAGAAGTTGCACCCATTGGGGGATAAGGGCAAACTTACCCATCTGGCCTTGGAGGGAGGTGGAGAATGTGGAGTTGAAGTTGCTTTTCAAAGACTTTCTTTCTCTTGGAACTGGTTATCCTTTCAACACTGCTTATCAGGGCCCATGCAAACCGGGCAGAGCCGGCTCCCTGGATACAGGTGGCAGCCGTTTCAAGTCCCCGCCCCCCACCACCACTACCCCATCTCTGCCCTGGCCTTGACCTTACAGTAAGAAAGCAAAAGAAGTGTTGAAGGTCTGAGAGAGGGATTTTAGAGAAAAAAAATTTGTGTGCTCAAATAACTTACAATAAAATATGTTAGTTAACTTAAATACCAGTAGTGCATCAAGCTTTAGTCCTTTATATATATAAAAATTAAGGTATTCTAAAACTGCTTTCACTAGTTTCTTGTAATAAATTAAAGACTATTCAGGCAATCTAAAAATCCTGGTGCTCTTTTGCCCTCAAGTTACCTGAAAAAAAAAAAAAAAAAAAACAAAACTTTTTCATGTCAGCATTGCTGAGCCTTGTCAAAGAAATAGATCCTCTCTCTCTTTTTTTAAAGATTTATTTATTTATGCATACAAGAACAGGGGTACAGGCCAGAGGTGTGGGGGGTGAGATAATTCACCAGAGACAGAGTGGGGAGCATAATAGGAAGATGGATTGAAATATACTGCTGAGGGGAGCAGTGACAGTCAGGAGAGGTCCGCTGTGCCATGTGGGTAGATCCCTGGCCAGCCAGGGATCGAGCACATGCTGTAGTGGCTATAGATAGCTTCATAGGTTGCATCTTAACCCTTTGCTCCACCAGGGAGGCCCGAAATAGATCTACTCTTAAAAATCCTTGTCACTCTGAGTAATGGTTTTATAACAATCTGTAAGTTTGTTCTATGACAATTTCATTCTGAAATTGTAAAGTTTTTGTCTTAAGAGGACTAAGACACCTGATAAAATTGATTTTCATTGTGAAAAACAAACAAATCAATTTGGGTATATTGATACCTCATAGGAAGGATTCTCATAGGATTGTTACACCTGTTCAACATAAATGTAAACTAATGAGATTGTTCTAAAATACATAAGACTTCTTTAAACCTAATAAGCCAGCCAATTGTAAAAGGGCTGAGAAAAGTTACTCAAAAACCCAAAAGTTCCACATCATTTCAGGCTAAATTTGCTGAGGCTATAAAAAGGTACACTAATCTAGACCCAGAAAAGGACAAGCATTTTAGCAGTCTCCTTCCTTAGCCTGTCTTGCTCTGATATCAGGTGCAGGCTCCAGAGATTAAATCAAGGGCCTAAGATCCTTTTAACCCTTTTGGACATGGCCTTCAAGGCCTACACTGACATGGAGGGGACTTGCTAGACTAAAAAAGAAAGGGAGAAAGACGAGAGAAGGGCCCAGTATATGGCAGTTGCCATTGTCAGTGTCCTGCCACCTCAGACTCACCCCAGACCCATGCGCTCCAGGGCAACTGAGATCTCAACCTCTTAATGGGCTGCCAGCTTGTTCCAGTGCCAGCAATCTGGACACCTCAGGGGCAAGGAAGCTGCCCCAAGGTTTATGCCCTCAGTCTCATCACACAGGGCATTGAAAGAGGGACTGCCCCACTCTCCGGAGAGGGAGGGGCCAGCCCAACCCACAGGCCAGGATGGGAGGACAGGCTTGACTGCCAGCTGTCACTGACTCTGAAGAACCTGGTACAGGAGACCTTCTCTGAAGCCCAGAGTTTAGACGAGCGCCCCTGTTTACTATTTCTATGGATAGGCCTCGGGTGACTCTAGAAGCGGCAGACAAAAATAACACCTTTTTGGTAAATAAGGAGCCACTTCCTCTGCCTTACTCCAGTTCTTTGAACTGACCTACTGGTCAATTGTCCCCCTCACTAGTACTGATGGCCAGCCTGAGCCAGGACCCTGCACAGCACTGCTTCCTTGCTCGCTACCAGGCCACATGTTTATGTTTTCACCTTGATTTCCTAGCTTCCTCTATTAGGACAGGACTTGGGGACTAAATTCCAAACTCACAGCCTCCACAGCCACTATTGGCTCTCCCAGCTGCTGCTACACAAGACAGGAATAACACGGAAGCCCTAATTCTCACTGATGCTGCCACTTTGGCTACAACCCCTCCAGGTGTTTGGGACACTACAGTGCCAGGATGAGGTGTCTTTGCCACTGCTCTTAGGGTACAATTAAAGGAATCTCCTATCTTCCTGATGGAACCACAACACCCCTCAAGCCAAAGTCCAACAATGCCCCTTGAATTCCCAAGTCTCAGTGGTTATGTAACACCATGGAGTTCTGGGCTCACTCACGAGTCTGTGCCCTCCTTACTCTTAAATCCTTTAAAAAAAAAAAAAAAAAAAAAAAAAAAAAAAAAAAAAAAAAAACCTCCTGTCCTGGCTGTTCTCCTTTTCATTCTCCTTCCCCCTCCATTTTTCTCTTGCTTGGGCCCTGCATCCTCCATGGCCTCATTGGGATCATCTCGCCTGGAGGCCATCGAACTCCATGTGGGCACTGTGAAGGCTCCACTGTCCTTCTGTCACTTGGATCATTGCCCTGTGGTGGAGCCCTGACTGCCTCCCCACCTCACCCACATTCAGCAGGAAGCAGTCATTGATCAGATGGACATCCTTTGTCCCAAAAGCAGTTTGGGGCTCCATCCATAGAGGGGGAATGAGTCCTAGGGCAAGTTAGGGATAATTAGGCAACCTCAAGGCAGTGCAGGAACTTCAGGAGAGTTAAGGAAGCCTCCAGAGATAAGGGCAACAAATTCCAAAGGGGGTAATCACACACCCTAGGACTAAGGGCAACAGGACATTCCTGAACCAGGACAATAAAGAACAAAAGATAAGGGCTGGGACACAGACACTCAGTTCTGGGCACAGACATTGAGGCAGTGAGTGAGACCACAGAGAACTAACCAACCACAAAGAGACAGGTGGAGCTTTAGCGTAATCAAGGAAAGAAGGTCTCTATTCCCTGAGGCCTGATTCCACTTGGGCTTCCTTGCTCTCCCTGGCCAGCTTCAACCAGCCTGAGAGTCCCACTTTATTTTTGTTCCTTTTCTACTTAATAAACTTTTTTCTTTCTCTAAACAAATCTGCCTCTTTCTGTGGTTGCATCAGGGAAGTTCCTGGTGCAGCTTCGTGAGACACCAGCCCGTGGGGGTCTAGTGGCTGGGACTCAGCGCTGCCCCTGCAATTTCTGGTCCATTCCTGCCTGGGAGACCAGGCCTGAAAACCTGCAATTTCTGTGTAAACTTAAGGCCTTTAGAATTTATGGTGATGTGAACTAACATTGAGAAGAACAAATTTTCTGGGGTCTCAGGCGTCCCTGTGACTTTTAAAGTGTTTTTCTGTATCACTTGCTAATTTTTTAGATCTCCCCAGGTCCGTGGAGAGGATGCTCCATTGAGCCCACAAAATCCACCTGCTTCCTTTTCTGCCCTGCCTGAGATCGGGGTGTACAGCAAACATTTGAATCTCGGGAACAGTCAGCTGATTAACACGGTGGGAAAGAAACACTACGAGTGAGCGCTCCCATAAAAACAATTAATAAAGAGAAAAAGCGGCAGGTCCCTGCGAGAACCAGGACACACAAAAGAAACTGGTGATGCTGGGCCTCCCCAGTGGCGCAGCGGTTGAGCACTGGGTTGCGAAGCTGCCCGCAGCCTCTGCAGCGCCGGTTCAATCCCGGGTGCTCCCGGCCACTGGAGGAGGGTCCCGCATGGCGCGCAGACCTCTCCTGCCGCCCGCTGCTCCCCTCAGCAGTGTACCTCGGTCCTTCTGCCTGCTCTGCTCCCCGCTCTGGCTGTGGTGAATTCTCTCACCCTCCTGCACTTCTGACTGTACCCAGTGCTTGTATAAATTAATAAATAAATCTTAAAAAAAAAAAAAAAAAAAGAAACTGGTGATGCTGAAAAACTGCCCGGAGAGGAAATGTGCAATAACAGAAGAGGAGAGAGGAAAGTAGCAGAACCCTGCGGCCCTCCCCCTCCCATAAAACCAATTCAATCTGACCTATAGAAAGGAGAAAAAAACAAGAACTAGGGACCCAACAGGATGGTGGACAGAAAGGAATTGCTGCAGGCTCCATGCCCCGTGGCCAAGAAATGTGGCAACCCTGAGGAAACCACCAGGGATGTGAGCTAACGACCGGAAATTGCAAACTCGGTGCCACTAGAGCAAAGTAGAAGTGACCTGCAAATGGCCAAAGGGCAGCTGTAGAGATGGCTCGGAAAAGCGGGAACGAAAAGCACAGGCAGATCTGGCTGCCCAGGTCCCCGTACCCACAACCTAGGATTGTGGGGAGACTCACGGCAGGCGTCTCTGAGGTGAGTCTCCAGAACAGGGTTTACCCCGTTGGATGCCAGCTCCTGGTCAGGGCGCACAGCCTGTGCCTGCGGGGGATAGACAGAAGCGCCCCCTCTCCCAGGTCAGTGATGTGACAGGCTTCAGCCAGTTTGGTCCTGTGTAGGGGCAGGATGACTGTAGAGAATGGAATGACACGGAGCAGGTTTTCTGATCCAGCAGACCCGGTAAAGGAGGAGTGAGTCCTGGAGACCTCGGTGGGTTTTTCAGGCTTTTATTGGGATTTACCGGGTACAAGGCAGGCAGGGGTGCTGAGGGGCTGGGAGGCTGGCAGGCCTGCCAGCCCCCAACAAGTCTTCACTCTTTCTGGGCTCTCCTGTGATCTCTGCTGCTCTTGTGGTTCTTCATGCTTCTCTGCTTCTTCTCTAGGCTTCTGCTGGCATCCCCGTGATGCCGCCCTTAAAAGCCCAGGGATCACATGGCAAGGACAGGGTGAATCCCATCTACATATGCCCACACCCTACTCCAGGTGCCCGCATCAGGCATGCATTCAGGACTACAGGGTTCTGTCATCTCTCCTAATGGCAGGAGGGCAGAAAAGCCTGATACTTTTTACCTTACCCTACAATCCACCCCCTTAGGGTTTTCTGCCAGACAGTCTATACAAGTGATACACATGTTTCTCTTGGCATGAACACTGCAGCCATGGCCCACCAAAGTAAAGCAGTATACATCACAATATGGCACAGTGGTTGAGTGCTGGGCTGAGAAGTTGCCCGCAGCCTCTGCAGTGCTGGTTCAATCCCCAGCCGCTGGCGAGGGTCCCACATGGTGCGCAGACCTCTCCTGCCGTGCCCACTGCTTCCCTCAGCACTGTATTTTGTCGGTCTGCCTGTTCTGTTTCTCACTCTGGCTCTGGTGAATCTCTCACCCTCCTGCGCTTCTGACTATACCCAGTGCTTGTATAAATAAATCTTTTTTAAAAAAACAAAACAATATAACAAAATACAACAGAGCAAAATAAGTCCAGGCAGGGCACCAACCTAGTGGCAAAAGGCAATTATTGGCACCAGCAGATGATCCACCACTACTGCTGCTGAAGGCACTGCTCATACAAGGGAGGGGAACCACTCATGGCATCTGCCGACACACACCAGGAGCCGTCAGGCTTCCTGGCTTTCTCTGGCTGCAGTCTCAGCCACAAGCTACACACCGCATCCACCCCCAGGATGCACTCACTCCTAGATTGGCAATTCTATACTGTTGGGGGTAATTGCCCAACCCTCAGGGTTCTGTCTGCAGTCGCTCCAACAATTGGCTTTCATAGCCACCAATGTCACACGCAGGCCCCTGCACTCAGGCCAACCCACTGCACAAGCACATGGGTTGGGGATCCAAACTCCACATGCGGCCTCTCTTGGGTCCCCTCTTCGGCTTGGGCTCCACCCCAAGCCACGTTCCCCACCCATCCCCCAAGGACAGGTTCCTCAGCTTCTCACCCTCCCTCGACAATGACCAGGGCATCACCCACAAGTGATTTTATAAGACTAACAGCCACTAAGGGCTTCTCAATCTTAGCACCAGCTTTTGCTTTTCTCAGTTGACTTTTTCTCTACCTGGTTGCTGGGCAGTACACAGGCTGCTCTTGGCCATCAAGGCCCACTGGCCACCCCTAGATTCCCATCTCCTGAGGTATACAAATGATCCTCCCCAGGGTCCCCAAAACAACATTAATTTGCCAAAGTTCCTCTGCCTTCTGGCAGGATTGTTAGTCCACTAGTCCAAGTTCATTTGCTTTCCCCCTTGTCCACACTGTGGGGCTCTGAATCTTCCCTGATGATTCTTTCTGCCTTGGGGGTCGTTGGCTGGTCCTCTCGGGCATCTCCTCCTCCAGCTGAGGTTTCATCCTTGTCCATCTCCTGTGCTGCCATGTCGCCTCCAGCATTGTCACGGGCAAACACAGTCTGCTACTCAGTCCCTCCAGGTCTTCGGAGGGCTCCATACCTGTCTGCATAGATCATCTTGCCAACTAACGCCAATTGTAAAGGCAGGAATGGGACACAGAGCAGGATTTTTATGACCCAAGTAGACAGGGTGAAGGAGGAGTGAGTCCTGGAGACTTCGGTGGGTTTTTCAGGCTTTTATTGGGATTTACCAGGTACAAGGCAGGCAGGGGTGCTGGAAGGCTGGGAGCAAGTCTTCACTCTTTTTGGGCTCTCCTGTGATCTCTGCTGCTCTTGTGGTTCTTCATGCTTCTCTGCTTCTTCTTCTCTCAACTTCTGTTGGCGTCCCCATGATGCTGCCCTTAAAAGCCCAGTCTTAGCCCAGGTGAATCCCATCTACATATGCCCACACCCTACTCCAGGTGCCCACCATCAGGCATGCATTCAGGACCCCAGGGTTCTGTCATCTATCCTAATGGCGGGAGGGCAGAAAATCCTGATACTTTTTACCTTACCCTACAGGAATCTACATGTAAATGAGTGTCTGAAATCCATGTGGGAAACGAGGGTGTGTCTCCTGAGCTAAGGAGTGAGATGGAGCCTGGGACCTCCAGGGGAGAGGAGGGATCACATGGCAAGGACAGGGTGGCTCATATGAAAAAAAAAAACAACAGATATTCATAATTATGTTTGTGCTGACATATTGATAAATTTCTCAGATAGAAACCTTGTTTCTGGTAATAACCCTAATTTTGGGTAAGACCACCGATTTTCATATAGGTAGTTACAGAAGTGGTAAACGTTTCTTAAGATGAACCCCTGATGAAGCTCAGATGGAAATGATTCACATGCCAAAGTGGCCTGTCTTGGGGACACCTTCCTGAACATCTTGGGGAGGCCTGTCCTTCAGAGCATAATAAATGAGGGGAAGAGCAGATGAGGGTGAGGATGAGGCCAGGACCAGGCAGTAGATTAGGCTACAGGCCTCCTCAGTGTGGTTGAGTTCTGGGGCAGGACGTGGATGGGGACTGAGGGAAGAGGGGACAGGCTGGTCTGTGGGGCCAGAGCATGACATGTCAAGAGTGGAAATGACAGCTGTGGGAAGAGATAAAATCTGTTTTCCTTGTACTTAATATGTTTTTAATATTTTTTATTACATCTCTTGATACTATTGATAATAGTGTTAGGACTCCTGCTTCTCTGCTGTCACAAAAAAACACAAACTTCTGGGGCCTCCTCGGTGGCGCAGCAGTTGAGCGCTGGGTTGCGAAGTTGCCCGCAGCCTCTGCGGCGTCGGTTCGATCCCCGCTGCTCCCCGGCCACCGGAGGAGGGTCCCACATGGCGCGCAGACCTCTCCTGCCGCCCGCTGCTCCCCTCAGCAGTGTACTTCGGTCCTTCTGCCTGCTCTGCTCCCCGCTCTGGCTCTGGTGAATTCTCTCACCCTCCCGCGCTTCTGACTGTACCCAGTGCTTGTATAAACAAATAAATAAATCTTTAAAAAAAAAAAAAACAAAACACAAACTTCTTCCCAGCATGTATCTCAGGTTGGGTTTACACGTGTCTTTGTCACCTTTACTCAGTGTCCATCTCTCTTGACAGTGCAAGCTCCATGTCTCCAGGGCCTTCTCTCTGTTCCCCATTGTATCTGCAGGGGAGGCAGCTTGGGGAGGCAGGAGCCAGCCAGCGAGAGGGATGCTGGGAAGTGAAGAGGAGGCAAAGGCAGAGAACACTTGGGACATGCTCCCTGGTTCACTGAGAAAAGCATTTCTCAAAGTGTGGTCTGTGGAGCTTTTGAAGTCACCCAGAACCTTTCATGGGATTCATGAGATAAAACTATTTTCAAAACATCACTTAGACACCAATTAGCTTTTCACTATTTTGGCATTTGCTGAGGTAAAATTTAGTAAGAGTGGAGCTTATAGCACCACTGCAGAAGCAGTGATTCTTCACCAGCACTTACCTGCAGAGACAAACATTAAAGCCCATTTCACTTGAAATTGTCCTGGAAAAAGCATTAAAAATTATCTTCATTACTGTGTCATCCTCAACTCCACATTTTAAAATATCTGGTGTGCTGACCTGGAAGCTCACACAGAGCACTTTTGCGGCATCCCCAAGCCCTGTGTCCTGAGGAAAATATTGTATGAGATGAATTAGACTCTTTTTATTTGTGGACAACACCATTCTTACCTGATGGGATGAATGACAGAAACTAAGTTTATCTAAATTTGGTTAATTAGCAGACACTTTCCTCAAAATGAATGTCTGTTTCTTAAAGAAAATCAATGATGGCAAATGACAGTAATTTTGCCTGATAAAATATAAGCTTTCAGAGAAAACCAGAATTATGAAAAATTGAGTGCATCACTACTTGACAACTTTCTTTTGCGATTAGTGATTAAAAATAAAACGTTTTTTAAAGATTTCTTTATTTTCGTACAAGAGCTGGGGGACAGGCCAGAGGTGCAGAAGGGTGAGAGGATTCACCAGAGACAGAGCCAGGAGCAGAACAGGCAGAAGGACAAAAGACACTGCTGAGGGGGGCAGTGGGCGAGGCAGGAGAGGTCTGCTGCACCATGTGGGTTTTTCCCTGGCGGGCTGGGAATTGAACCCACACTGCAGAGGCTGAGGACAGCTTCACAGCAATGCTCAGCCGGCTAAAACAATTTTTTGATCATTTGATTCTAGTGTAATTAACACTAAATATCCATGTAACTTAGTGAAACAATGTATCACCTTAAAACAATCATACATTAGCACATTCCAACCAATATGCAGAGGCCTATGGAAATGTAACAGAATAGGAAATATTCCCTGATATTATTTCAGATTTCACTTTGCAGATACACTTCTAGAAAGTACCACCTGTGTAGTTTAAATTCAGTGTCAAAGTGGAATATTCACAATTCTCTGAAAACACTACTGCTTTCTTCATTCCTCCAGGCTGCTGCTTCTCCCAGCCCAAATCCACTCCTCCCCAAGGTGCAGAAGGAATTTGGAACCTCCCCTGTCTGTGGATGTCACACTGTTACAGCATCATGTCTCCCTCTCTCAGGCTCTGTGGGGTGGTGCAGCATTGATGACCCCACACTCACCCCCGTTCTCTCTCCCCATTTCCTGGGGGATTCCAGGGAAGACAATCAGCATCATCCTGCTCCAGTTACAAAGTCTCCAAGACTCTCCTGGACTCCTTCTCCCCAGACCCCTGGAAGGAGTGTGATGCCCCTCACCGTCCTGCTGCTGCTCTGGGGGCCCCTGGCCCTGATGGAGACCCGGGCGGGTGAGTGCGTGTCCAGCTGGACACTGTTGCTCCAGGAGGGAGGAGCAAGGAGCCCCCTGCGGGTGCAGGACCCCAGGAAAGGCTCATCTCCTCCCAACCTCATGTTCCCCTTCAGGCTCCTTATGTTCTGGCCCCTTCTGTCCCTCCCGCCTCCCCTGAGTGCTCTGGGCCCCTGAGTCTGGGCCCTTCTTGGCCCACCGCCCCTTTTCACTCTCACGGCCCCGCCCCTTTCTCCCCTCCAGGCCCATCTCCCTGGGCCCTGGGCCCGCGCTGAGAGGAGGGTCAGCCCGGGTCTCCCCTCCCGCCCCCAGGCTCCCACTCCCTGAGGCTTTTCTACACCGCGATGTCCCGGCCCGGCCTCGGGGAGCCCCGCTACATCGCCGTGGGCTACGTGGACGACACGCAGTTCGGGCGGTTCGACAGCGACTCTCCCGGCCAGAGCGCGGAGCCGCGGGCGCCCTGGGCGGGGCAGGTGGGGCAGGAGGACCTGGACGAGGAGACTCAGAACCAAAGGGACAACGCGCAGTGGTTCAAAGCGCTCCTGAGGGACCTGCGCGGCCGCTACAACCAGAGCGAGGACGGTGAGCTTCGCGGAGCGGGGCCAGGGTCAGGTCACCCCCATTCCCACCATCATGCCCGGGTGTCCCGGGTCTCAGGGTCCACTGACCCCTCGAGGCGGGTGGATCTGCCAGGCCCCTATACTGGGAAGTGCCCTGCGGATGTTCCTGCCTGCATTTCATTTTCGGTTTAGGTTTATTCAGGGAGAGAGACGGGGTGACCTCGGGGCTGACCCCAGGGGTGGGTTTCAGGGTCTCACACCCTCCAGAGGATGTTTGGCTGTGAAGTGGGGCCAGACCTGAGCCTCCTCGGCGGGTATGAAAAGTTCGCCTACGACGGCGCGGATTCCATCTCCCTGAGCGAGGACCTGCGCTCCTGGACCCCCGCGGACTCGGGGGCTCAGATCACCCAGCGCGCGTGGGAGGCGGCGGGCAGGGCCGAGCGCGTCAGGCACCGTGTGCAGAGCAGGTGCTTCCCGCGGCTCCGCAGACTCCTGGAGACAGGGAAGGAGGTGCTGCAGCGCACAGGTAAGAGGGGCAACAAGGCCTCGGACCTCCCCTCAAACTGGAAGAGGTGGGATTCATGGCGGGTAAATGGAATAATGGGCAGAACAGCAGCTGCTTTCTGGGCAGAGAGGGAGAGTCCCCCTGGGTTGTATGTTCTGTGCTAGAGAGAGACTCGCCCAGAAGACACCACTTTTCTGGACAGCTAAGGAATCCAGTCTCTCCCCAGGGAGGGGAGGCCATCCTGAAATAACTCTTCCAACGAACTTTTGACCCGGCAGCCATCCTGGGAACCATGAGTTTCTCTTTCAAGGGCTTGTTTTTGGTCTGAGAACATTTCAGGATCTGCCTTTCTGTGTCATTCACCCTCCACCCAGGTCAGGAGCAAAAGTCTGTGTTCTCCTCAGAGACCTGCATCCTCCTACCCTGGGCTCTCACCTGATTATCCCAGATTCTCCAGACTAGGCTGGTTTCTGGGTTTTGTGCTTCCTCCCTCCAAACCAATTGTCATGTCCATTCTGAGGATGGTCAGTGAGGCTGCTTCAGTGTCCAGGATGGAAAAACTCAAAGTGTGAATGTTTAACCCTTCTCCTCAGATACCCCAAAGACACATGTGACCCTCCACCTGACCTCTGACCGTGAGGTCACCCTGAGGTGCAGGGCCCTGGGCTTCTACCCTGCGGACATCAGCCTGACCTGGCAGCGAGATGGGGAGGACCTGACCCAGGAGATGGAGCTGGTGGAGACCAGGCCTGGGGGGGATGGAACCTTCCAGAAGTGGGCGGCTGTGAAGGTGCCTTCTGGAGAGGAGCAGAGCTACACATGCCATGTACAACATGAGGGGCTGCTGGACCCCCGAGTCCTGAGATGGGGTAAGGAGGGAACTTGGGAACAGAGCTTCTCAGGCGCATCTAGTGCCCTTCTGGAGACTTTTAGAGGGACAGGGTAAGGCCTGGGGCTCAGGGTCTCCCCTTCTCTTCCCTTCCAGTGCCCCCTCAGTCCTCCATCCCTACCGCAGGCATCATTGCTGGCCTGGTTCTCCTTGGAGCTGTGCTCACTGGAGCTGCGGTGGCTGCAGCTGTGATGTGGAGGAAGAAGCGCTCAGGTGGGGAAGGGAGTGGGGGATCTTGTCCACTGGGGGCTTTCATGTCCCAGGGAGAACTTGCCCTTCCTGGTTAGTTGGGAGTATAGTCCACACACGTGTGTGGCCTAGTCTGGAGCTGATTGCTAACACTCTCTTTTGTAAAGCACTTATGAAATGAATCACTAATTTTCTTATAACTGTGGTGATGGGGATCTGTTTCCTTGTAAATGTCATAGGGGAAGGACCCCATTCTGGAAAAACTCCAATTCCCTTTCATATCCATTCTTTATATATCTCAGTCCTGATCTGGGTCTTCAGTCACTGTTCTAGAAACTTCCCTGTGACCCAGACTTGGGGATTCCTTTAGGACTTCATGGCCTGACTCCTCCCTTGTCTCACATGATTCTTCTTCCCACAGGGGGACAAGCAATCAGCTTCACTCAGGGTGCAGGTAAGTGTGGATCAGTGGTTGGATCCCTGAGCCCCTGAGGACAGTGTAGAGGAAACTTGAGGGAGAGTCACCCTCATCAGTTCCTATGAGGGTCTCATCTCTGGGCTCTGACCAGCTTTTCTTTAGTGATTTCTCAGGCAGCAACAGTCCCCAGGACTCTGGGATATCTCTTACCCCCTGGGACACACCAGAGGATGGGGTCAGGTTGTGGAGCTGTGAGTGGGACAGTCTTTGGATGCAGTGAACTATTGAGAATGTTATCACTTGATGTAACTCACCCGATTTTCTTCAATGTTATTTTCCATCACAGAATGAGAGCTCTGTCTTGTGTGGGACTGAACATTACAGGATTTCTCTCCCCTCATTTTGTAACTTCAGGATCCTCTGGTTTATTTAATTTTATTTGTTTTCTAGCTGTCAGTGATTGATATAAATTGGTTTTCTTACATCATTGTTAATTTTTGCATGATAGTTGATTCCTCTCTCAGGTGTAGTCCTTATGTAACAGGGTGGTGCCCAGGAAAAGGGGAAGTTCCAGGTTCCCTGCCTCAGCAAAGGAGGATGGAGCTAAAGAGAAGAAAAAAAAGCTGGAGAGGAGACTGAGGAAGGAAGGAAGCAGGATGGAGCCAGAAGGAGACCTGGAGGAGGCACGTGGAGCAGAGAGACATGAAGAAACTGTGCTTGCCTTTTGGTCGTGGACTGGGTGACACAGATGTGGGTGAGAGACCCGTGGGGAGGTGACAGTGCCAGCTTTTTTAAAATTTTTATTTTTTTTATATCATTGATCATTTTTAAACACTATTTGCTTCCCCCCACCCCCAGGTTTAGTCCCCATAGCGTTTCCTTCCCCTCCCCTGTGCTCCTCCCTCCCTCCCTCCCTATAATCCCTCTCCCTCCTCCTCCCCTGCAGGATCTCTGATTTATAATTGTCTGTTTTTCCTTTGCTGTGTTTTTTAATGTTATTTTTTTAACACTGATGTATTATTTGGTTCCCCTATATTCCTGCTATAAATGAAACCATCCGATAGTTTTCTTTTTCCTTCTGGCTTATTTCACTGAGCATAATTCCTTCTAGCTCCATGCATGTTGCTGCGAATGGCATGAGTTTATCTTTTTTGATTGCTGAATCATATTCCATTGAGTATATGTACCACATCTTCTTCATTCAGTCATCTACTTTTGGGCATTTGGGTGGTTTCCAGGTTTACCTATTGTAAATAGTGCTGCAATAAACAGGGGTACAGGTGTTCTTTTGAATCAATGTTCTTGTGTCCTTTGGGTAGATCCCTAGGAGTGGAATTGCCGGGTTGTATGGTAGCTCCATTTTTAGTAGACTGAGGAAAGTCCAGACAGCTCTCCATAGTGGATGGATCAGTTTGCACCCCCACCAGCAATGTAGGAGAGTACCTTTTTCACCACATCCTCGCCAACATTTGTTGTTGCTTGTTTTTTTTTTCTTTTTTTTTAAAATAATAAATTTTATTTTTATATTCCCCCACACAATTGCAAACGCCCCATTCTGACCCCAATCCTTCCCCTCCCGCCCCCCCACCCCCAAAAAAGTGTCTCTGGTTCATAGTTTTCTGTTGATTTTGATTTTCACTTTCTTATATTCATTTTCCTAGTCCCTTATTTAAGTTTTCTAGATTCCTGCTATGAGTGAGACCATCCGGTATTTTTCTTTTTCTTTTTGGCTTATTTCGCTGAGCATGATCCCTTCCAGCGCCATCCATGTTGCTGCAAATTGCATTTGTTTATCTTTTTTGAATGCTGAGTAATATTCCATGGTATATATGTACCACATCTTCTTGATCCAGTCATCTATTTTTGGGCATTTGGGTTGTTTCCAAAGCTTAGCTATTGTAAACAGTGCTGCTATAAACATAGGGGTGCAGGTGCTCTTTGGAATTGATGTTTCTGTGTCCTTTGGGTAAATACCTAGGAGTGGAATTGCTGGATCATATGGAAGCTCTATGTTTAGTAGGTCCAGAAATCTCCACACAGCTCTCCATAGTGGTTGGACCAATTTGCACCCCCACCAACAGTGCAGAAGAGTTCCTTTTTCTCCACACCCTCGCCAACATTTGTTGTTGCTAGTTTTTTTAATATGTGCCATTCTCACTGGTGTGAGATGGTATCTCATGGTAGTTTTGATTTGCATTTCCCTGATTACAAGTGATGTTGAACATTTTTTCATATGTCTGTTGGCCATTTGCATTTCCTCTTCAGAGAAGTTTCTTTTTAGCTCTTCTGCCCATTTTTTGACTGGATTATTTTCTTTGTTGTTGCTGAGTCTCATCAGCTCTTTGCAGATTTTTGTGATCAGTCCTTTATCATTAGTGTTGTGTGCAAAAATGTTCTCCCAGTCGGTGGGGTTTCTCTTTGTTTTTGTTATTGTCTCTTTTGCTGTGCAGAAGCTCTTTAATTTGATGTAGTCCCAGCTGTTTATCTTTGCCTTCACTATCACTGCTTTGGGTGATGTGTCTGTAAAGATGTCTTTGATGTGCAAATCCCGTAGTGTTTCGCCTATATTTCCTTCTATGTATTTTATGGTTTCAGGTCTTATGTCTAGTTCTTTAATCCATTTTGAGTTGATTTTTGTGTATGGTGTGAGGTAGTGGTCAAGCTTCATTCTTTTGCATGTAGCGACCCAGTTTTCCCAGCACCATTTATTGAACAAACTTTCTTTGCTCCAATGCATAGTCTTTGCTCCTTTGTCAAAGATTAGTTGACCATAAATCTGTGGGTTTATTTCTGGATTTTCTATTCGATTCCATTGGTCTGTATGTCTGTTCTTGTTCCAATACCATTCAGTTTTGATGATTATGGCTTTGTAGTATAGTTTGAAGTCTGGGAGTGTGATGCCTCCATTTCCTTCTTTTTTTTTCAGTAGAGCTTTGGCTATTCGGGGTTTTTGGTGATTCCATATGAATTTCATCAATAATTGTTCTATTTCTTTGAAGAATGCCATTGAGATTTTGATTGGAATAGCATTGAATCTGTATATTGCTTTTGGTAGGATGGCCATTTTAACAATGTTTATTCTTCCAATCCATGAGCAGGGGATGTCTTTCCATTTCTTTGTGTCTTCTTCTATTTCTTTTAACAGTGTTTTATAGTTTTCTTTGTATAGGTCCTTTACCTCTTTTGTTAGA